ATATATATATATATTCTCATTCTAGAAATCCTTATATCTTTGTTTGTTTATAGAATAATATTTCAACGTCCATCTTTTTCTAGATATTTTTATCCATGAAGCCGTTGAAATAAAAGCCAAAATAGGAGTTGTCTATTTTCTTTTTATGTACTTGCTCATATGCTTAACCATTAAATAGTTTATTGATTGATAGTGATCCTTGCTCTAAAATTGGTGGATGCACTGCCATAATGTGATATACTTGCACTTGACCTGCATACCCAAAAGAACTACTCAAAGTCAAGTATTGAATGGGTGGTGTGATGTAAAGCTACATGCAACTAATGAAACTTACCTAACTAGTTACTCGGGAAAAGAGCAAAAGGTTAATTGGTTAGCACTTGATAATTTGCAATGCTACGTACCAAGGATAGAGGCCCTCTCTCCATTGAATCACCTAAAAAAACTAACTAGTTACCTACAACTTTCGATTTTTTTGTAAGATTATAAATACGAAAAGAGTAATGATCCTATGAAATCCTCCCACACATCCATGTGTGTAGGACTCCAAAAGATCACCATTAAATTTGACACAGATCTCTAGAAAAATCAAGTCCCACACCCATGTCATAACTTTTCTAAAGATCTGTACCATATTTAATGGCGTTCCTTTGAAGTCCTACACACATAGGTGTGGTAAGATCTCATAGGATGATTACTCATATGAAAAACCCATATGAAAGCTATCCTTAGACTAAATATTTACTAAAAAACGAAGTTTTTGGAAAATCATTAGACTTACTTTAATTTCTTACGAACTTCAAAGCATTGTTCAAAGACAACTGAATCAACTTGTAACCCACCCATTATATCAGATTGATCGCCTTGCCAAGACGATAGTAGTTTAAAAACTCTAACTGAAAAAATAAAAATGAAGTCATAAAAATTTAATTTTTTTACTAAATCAATATAGAAACATTTTTTTAAGGAAAAAGTTTATATAAGATTGCAACCTTAAAATGTAGAATTAAAGATGCACCTAAAAAATCTATTAGAAAAGGTTGTTTTAATGTTGAAAAACCCTCTAATTGATCATCTCGACATCGAGATGTTTAAATATAGAAAAAAAAAAGATTATGAGTCCCAAAAATAGTGCTCTTGCAACACATAATCTAGACCATCTATTTTCAAGATTTTCATATGTTTATAGATCTACTTGATTTTAACTATTTTTGAAGTTTAAAATTTTATAATTAGAGATGAAAATAGATTTTAAGATAATCTTAAGAATTTTTTACATCAAAATTATATGTTATGATAAAATTTAGAGGTGTGCCTTAATTAGATTGTTTAAAATTGCAATCTTATAGAAACCACACCCTTTTTCCCATTTTTTTAAAAAACTTTTAATATTATTTCTACATGCAAATGATTCTTTTCCAAATTCCATCTCTTATATCTTTTCTATAAATAAGAAATGAAGCTTGGCAACTCATGGCAAACTTGGAACCAGACTCTGTGATGATGGTAGTTCGAAGGTAAAGGACAAAGACAGGTAGGTATATGCTTTAATTTACGTGGGTCCTGAAATTAGAGACTTCGAGAAAATTCAGCATATGCAATTTATGTGGGTTCTATATTGACAGATATGGCAAATAGAAACCAAGCTGTATCATGTTTTTGATAACGTAAGAGAAGTCATTTTAGGGACAAAGACAAGTAGAAATATGCATTAATTTACGTGGGTCCTGAATTTAGAGACTTGGAGATAAATCAGTGAATGCATTAATTTATGTGGGTCCTATATTGAGAGATTTGGGAAAAAAAAAAATTTATCTGCTTTAATTTATGTGTATATGCTTCCTTGAGTAAAAACCTTTATCTAGTGCACATTTAGAGTCTATAAATTATAATTAGTTTTATCTAGAATATAATATTTAATCTAAGAGAACTTTTTATTATTTGATATATATTTTGATTTATATATAATAGAATTTAATTATTCAACTGTTTTGAGCTGTTTTAGTTATTTCAGACCAAAAAACATGTGTTTCTCAGCAAATTATATTGACTAAAGTGAAGATAATATTACAAAATATAAACTTATATATTTATCCAAAAAGACAAACTTATTTGTAAAAATGTTAATATCTCAGAATGCCTTAGGATCTTGCGAAGGTAACATCCTCAACTTAGCGATAAACCAATAGAAAAAAGTCTCATACATTCTAAAGCAGATCTCAAAATACTAGTAGAATTAAGAAGATCTTTTCGATCCGATTTTTGAGGTGCACCTTATTTCTCCAAACAAAGCTGCAACCTTATATAAACTTTATTCATAAAAGAACACACATATATATATTAAGGAAAAAGGAACTTGACAAAACATTTGCTTACAACTTCAATATTTTTGGAAAACCAATAGATTTGGAAAACACGGCCGATACCAGTTGAAGTGTCCATATCATGAATGGACCCGCAGAAGTAAATGTTAGGATAGACTTGTTTACTTTCCAATTGGTGGATTGTTTCCTTTTCGAGACCATTGTCTAATTAGTTTGCCGATTCATATCCACCCTCATTTTGTCAAAATGAGTGGTGGATGGGCTACCACAATGCGCATGGATCGTGTCACTTGACCTACCTGGTGAGAAAGACAATTCCAAGTCAAGGATTGCCGGGGCTCAATTTTCCAACTCGTCTTCTACTGCCAACTCAGAAAAAGGTTACAGGTACTCCAGTTTCTTTGGGTAACTCCAAATCTTGAAGAAAGTGGAATGCTTATTTAAGCTTACCCACCCATCCATCTTCACAGCAACTATGGAGCTATCTCACCTTCTGCCATTTTTTATGCTCATCTTCATTTCTTTCTTCATGACTCTGCCTATTATGTGTGTATCGCACTTGTCATTACTCAACAACCTCACCGACCAACAAGCTTTGCTCTCCTTCAAAGACCATGTTATCTTTGATCCCTATAATGTCTTGGGTGACTGGAACAACAACATGAACTTCTGCAATTGGACTGGTGTCTCTGCAACAAACGCAGGCATAGAGTAACCTACTTGAACTTAGCAAACACTGGATTGCAAGGCATGCTCACCCCCCACATAGGGAATCTATCATTTTTGCAGGTTCTTAACTTGCTAAACAACAGCTTCCATGGAAGCATACCTCCGCAAATCGGCCACTTGTATCGCTTGCAAGCCCTTGTCATTTCCCGAAACCAATTGGAAGGAAGCATCCCTAAAGAGATGGGACTTCTGCCAAACATAAAGGGTTTGTATCTTGGAGGTAATTCCCTTACGGGCACCATCCCCCCTTCACTTGGAAATCTTTCTACCTTGGAGGGTATCCAACTAGCTACGAATCTTCTATATGGAAACATCCCTATGGAATTGGGTCTTCTACGAGAGCTAAAGCTTTTTGATCTCTGTCATAATTCTCTTACAGGTACCATCCCCCCATCACTCGGAAATATTTCTACCTTGGAGGAAATCTGGTTATATGAAAATCTTATACACGGTAGCATACCTGATGAGATTGGACTTTTAAGTGGTATAACCATCCTAAATTTCCACGCTAACAACTTCACTGGACCTATTCCTTCTTCACTATTCAATATGTCCTCTTTGATATATTTAGTCCTCTATTCGAATGATTTCTCTGGCTCGCTTCCTACAAACATGGGTTCTATGTTGCCTAATCTTGAAGAACTTTACCTTTGGAGCAACCAACTGAGTGGGCAAATCCCATCTTCTTTATATAATGCTTCAAAGCTCACTGTACTTGAGCTACAGAAAAACCAATTCAATGGACCGGTGCCCACATCACTTGGACATCTAACAGCCCTCAAAGTACTCAAACTCAATAGCAACCATTTAGAGAACGGGCCTGTAAGTCCTAACCTCAGTTTCATTGATTCTTTAACCAATTGCACATTCTTGGAATATCTACAACTAGGCGATAATCTATTTGCAGGATTTTTGCCGGACTCCATAGGAAACCTCTCAAACAATCTTAAAACCTTTACCCTTAATGGCTGTCATATCAAGGGAAGCATTCCAGCGAGCATTGGGAACCTCCAAAATTTAACAGGTTTGGATTTAAGTGGCAACTCCATTAGTGGAAGGCTCCCATCAGAGATAAGTAGATTGCATAAGATTGGAGCTTTGCTATTGTACGGGAACAAGTTGGAAGGATCCATCCCCACAGAGTTTGGTCAGTTGCAGAGTTTGCTCTACTTGTACCTCAACGATAACATGCTTTCTGGTTCAATGCCTTCTTCCATTAATAACCTCACCAAAATCTGTGACTTAAACCTGGGCAACAACAAATTATCTGGGGAGCTACCTACTGGAATATGGAGCGAAGCATTGCTCGAGGTAGATTTATCCCGAAACTACTTCTCGAGTCTTTTGCCCCAATTGATGGGACATTCAATTATGTTGACCCAAGTTAACTTTTCTGATAATCATTTATTTGGAAATTTACCTAATAGCATGGGAAACCTCCAGTATCTTGAAACCCTTGACCTTTCTCTTAACTCATTTCAAGGGACAATCCCTACAACATTTGGAGATATGATAAGCTTGAAGTACGTGGATATCTCTTCCAATAAATTGTCTGGCGAGATCCCAGAATCATTGTGTTCAGTTCCAAATCTTTTCTTCTTAAACCTTTCTTTCAATGGGTTAGAAGGGCCAATTCCAAGCAAAGGAGTATTTACAAATATTACAGCTGATTCTTTTAGTGGCAACCCACGACTATGTGGACCCCCAAAGCTAAGAGTGCCGGCATGCCCGATCAATACTACAACACCAAGGTCAAGGTCAAGGTCATGGTCATGGATGAAATCATTGGCATTTGAAATCCCTCTTGCGATCATATGTGCCTTTGTCTTTAGCCTATTATGTGTTTATCTTGTTTTCTTTAGGAGGCACGAGCTGAGTGTTTTAAGTGATGGCGTATCACAAATGAAGGGTCCAGGGTGGATATCTTATTATGAGCTTCGTCGGGCAACCGATAACTTCAACCGGTCAACCTTGCTTGGAGTTGGTAGCTTTGGTTCTGTATACAAAGGATTCCTATCAGATGGTTCACCGGCTGCAATCAAAGTTCTGAATTTGCAAAGAGAAGGTGCCACAAAGAGTTTTCATGCAGAATGCAGAGTGATGCAAAATATACGCCACCGAAACCTGGTAAAGATTATTACCGTATGTTCCAATTTGGACTTCAAAGCTCTAGTTTTGCAATTTATGGCCAATGGCAATCTAGAGAGATGGTTGTACCCTCAAGATGGAGCCCATTGTCGACTGAGTCTTCTCCAAAGATTGGACATTGTGATAGATGTAGCACAGGCCTTGGAATACCTCCATCACAGTTATTCAGTACCAATTATTCATCGCGATTTGAAACCAAGTAACATCCTCCTAAATGAAGACATGACTGCACATGTTGGAGATTTTGGACTCGCAAGGCTGATTGGGGACCAAAACATTGCTAGCCAAACGAGCACCATTGGGACGATTGGGTATATAGCTCCAGGTATGACTGGTGTCCCACATTGATTATTTGGCATTTTATATGTAAGTAGTACATTAACTAATTTCATATTTTCATCTAAGTTATTGCCATATAAAAGTCATAGTAAACCATAGTATTAAAAAGGAAAAATTACGTACATATCCGTTATAGTTTGCGTTATTATAAAATTACCGAGTAGTATATGTAATTACCTATTTGTCCATTTTTTTCATGTCATAACGAAAATTTAAAGAAAAAGACAATTCTACCTTTTTTAGGTTGTTGAACAGCCGAATTCAATGGATTGTCGGTTGTTCAACCACCCAAATCAAGCCAATTTTTGTTCTTCAAGAAGTAAAATTTTTTTTCTCTCTAGTAGGTCCTCTGCATATTCTCACTCTATGGATTTTCCCTTTTTCGGTTATTGAACAACCGAATTCAATAAATTTTCGATTGTTCAACAACCGAAATCAAGCCAATTACAGTTTTTGAAAAACCAAAAATTCAAAATTTTCGGTTGTTGAAGAACCGAAAATTTTAAATTTTCGATTCTTCAATCTCCAAAAATTTTTTCCTCTTGCATAGGCCCTCTAGGTATTCTCTCTCTATCGACTAATCAAATTTTTTTAAATGAAAGTTTTGAAGAACTAAATTCTCCCTCTATACCTTCTTTCACCCACGTTTTACCGGTCTTTTCCATTTAAAGTCTTCCCTATATTTATCCATTCTCTCTCTATACATTACATTGGGTGGGTTTAAACACTTCCATATATTTATCCATTCTCTCTCTATAGATTACGGTGGATTTAAACTCATTTTTATGTTTATCTTTTGAACTGGAAATGGAGAGAGAATGGATAAACATAGGGAAGAGTTTAAACCCTCTAATGTATAGAGAGAGAGAATGGATAAACATAGGAAAGAGTTTAAACTTTAAGCCCACCTAATGTAAGGTATACAGAGAGAATGGATAAACATAAGGAAGAGTTTAAAAGGAAAAGATGGGTAAAGCAGAGATGAAAGAATGGCACAAAGATGTAAGGTATAGAGAGAGAATGGATAAATATATGGAAGAGTTTAAAAGGAAAAGATGAGTAAAGCATGGATGAAAGAATGGCACAAACAGAGAGAGAATTTGGTTGTTCATAAATTGAATTTAAAAAAAAAATATTAGTCTATAGAGAGAGAATAAACTTATGAGAGAGAATAAATTGGTTTTCCAAATTTTGAATTTTCTGTTTTTCAAAAAAAATTGAATTTTGAATTTTCAAAAAAAATTTGAATTTCTAAAATTTTTAATTTTTCGGTTTTTCAAAATCAAAATTGATTTGATTTTGGTTGTCCAACAACCGAAAAAGAATAAAATTGTCTTTTTAAAAAAAAAAAAATTCTTTATGGCATAAAAAAAACGGACAGATAGGTAATAACGAAAATTATTTGATAATTTTGTAATAAAACAAACTATAACATATATGTACGTAATTTTTCCGATTAAAAATCTATTTCACAAAGATGCACAACCATGTTATTTTAGAAGTTAATAAAAAGTATGTAACAAAGTAATCGTTAATAGTTATATGGACAATGATCATGTGTGCACTTGCGTTCATAGGATGACTACGAAGCGTTGAAGCTTCGAAAGAAATCTGGCTTATGCTTTGAATGGTGGTGCATGCCATAACCAAGTTAACCCACTAGCTCCTTTTCTTTTATTTTATCAATCTTTCTCTCTCTCTCTTTATCTCTCCATATTACCATCCATCTCATTTAGGACTCTCCTTGTCACATATCTGGAAATGATATCAGCCCTTGCTTTCCCTTGAAAGACCCTTAGTACAAGGATGACACATATTTTAACTCACAAAACCCGAATCAAACAATTAAACAATATACAATTTCCATCCAAACCGTTTTACTACAACTCTCTCAGTCACAATGGCCGTATGTTGCACATGATATGCAATAAAATTAGAGAGTTAGAGTTTTGCTTATGTGTTTAACACGATAGGTGTATTGTTCTTCTGAGAATATGTTACTGACTGAGTTTGTTTCAACAACCATTAGAATATGGTACGGGGAGCAATATAACAACCAGTGGAGATGTCTATAGCTTTGGGGTGGTATTATTTGAGATTTTTACAAGGAAGAGGCCCACTGATCCTATGTTCTCTAATGGTTTGAGCTTGTCAAAATGGGTGGATCAAGAACACTCGGATGGAATACTAGAAGTTGTGCATGGGGATCTCTTGTTGGAGAATGATAGCCACAACAATGGTAGCAACTCAAAACTACAGTATTCAAGTTCAACGTTTAAATGCTTGTCATCAGTTATGCAAATAGGTTTGTCATGCACAAAGGAACGACCAAATGAGAGGATCGACATGAGGGATGCAGTCTTAAAATTGAAGGACACAAGATCAGAGTACATGGCAATTGTGCGGGCCTGATTATTGACATATTCAAATTCTTCTTATTCTTTTTACTTGTTTTTGTTTTTTTATTTTTATTTTTAAAGTGGTTGTGCCCTGGGAAGTTTGTGATGCAGGACCATCTATTTATATAGCTTAGCATTTGGTTGAATCCAATTTTAATATTGTAACTTACAGTAATTTGTGAAGCTGAAGTTTTTTCCGAATTGTGAATTGGTCATTCCAATAGATGAAGTATTGGCATTGAAACTATTGGTTAGACACTCAAATAGTGCTGATTAACTACGTAAGCAAAGAAGGATATTGAATACTAGGAAGGAAGAATATCCCCTGCTATTTTTATTTTTTTTTCTGTTGTCTTTTTTCTCTGTTCTCATCGAAAAGTAGGGCCCAAATCCCCACCGACATACCCTTTTTAAGTTACCTAAAAAAACTTATTTGAATTTTTTAAGCTATCCTTATGCCACTTCAAACCCCCATTTCCTACACGGTCAAACAAGATTGAAATTAATTGAGAACTTGGTTTCTAATGAGGCGCCTCTTAAAAATCTATTTTTGAGATGGATTTTCGGACTTAATTTTTGAGGATATGTAATCTCTAATATGGAGAGCATGAAAAAATAAATAAATTTTAAAATTAATGATAATAATTCTACTAAAAAAACATTTGGAACTAACTATTTGCATCTATCTTTAAGATAGATGCTTTATATCTGTGAACTGCATATGTAGAAATATGATCCCGACCACATGAAATAATTTTCCATTAAATAATATTTAAATGGTTTAAAGAGGGCTCTTCTCTCTCACAACGATACTCTCTCAGTTATCTCTTTACGGGCTTTCTTGGAAGCTACAGGGAGCATCAAGGGAAGAGAAGAGATCAATGAACTCTCGTCTTTTTGAGGAGACACACTCTCTCTCTCTCCCTTAACGGCCTCTCTCTTGGGTCAGGAGGGGGAAACGTTAGAGAGAAGAAGGAGACGTATCATGTGAAACATGCCTCGTGTATCGAGCGCAATAACGATAGTTACAGTCCAAAATTGTTTTACAAAGGTAATTATTTAGATATTCTTATGTGGGTTTAAATTGGTACAAAAAAATTTTCTGGACCTCTTTTATCATATCCTTAAACCTCCCAAGCCACATCTAATTCTCCACAGTATTTATATAGCTTTTTAGGTTTTTTAAAAAAGAGAAAAGTTTATATAATGTTGTAACCTTAAAATGTAGAATCACAAATGCACTTGAAAAATCTAACGAAAATATTATTTTAATATTGAAAAAACACTCTAATCGATCATATCGACATTAAGATGTACGAATATAAAAAAAAAAAAAACAATTGAGTTCCCGAAATAGTGCATCTTGCAACACATTATCTAGACCGTCCATTTTCAAGATTTTCATATATTCATAGATCTACTTAATTTTAACTATTTTTGGAATTTAAAATTTTCTAATTAGGTATGAAAATAGATTTTAAGATAATACTAAGAATTGTTTACAACAAAATGACATGTTATGATCAAATTTTAAGGTGCGCCTTAATTGGATTGTCCAAGGTTGCAACCTTATAGAAACCGCACCTTTTAAAAAAATAATGGTATTGCATTTTAATTTTTAATTACTCTATTAAAATTAGAAATATTGAGTACATGTCTCACGTCGCAGTGTTTGTTATCTTTTACTTCCATTTTATGGTCAAAATAAAATTTAAAATGCAACTCATTACAATAAAGTAAATCTCCATAACTCAAATTTTTATAGTGAGAAAATAGAATCCTACAATAATTTTGGAACTTTTGAGTTAATAGAGAGAAAAAAGCCATGACCCTTGCAATAAGCTATTGTGTTTTTATTAAATCAAAACGGCAATTAAATTAAATCAAAATGGCAATTAATGAAAAAACTATGATCCTCCATTTTTTTTTTCTCACTATACATGCTTTCATTTTTTTAATCTTTTTTTTTTTTGCCAAAGTATTTTTTGAAACAATTTATTCATTTTCAATGTCCCATGCAAATAGTGCTATTCAACACCCAAAAAATTTATTCGTTTTATGGAATAGTGGTCAATGTCCCAAGTAAAGTCGTTTCATGAGGTAGAGTGAAGCAATAGTGCTATTCAACACCCCAAATTTATTCATTTCATGCAATAATGCTTAAATGTTCCAAACTTTATTTGTTTCATGCCAATTGCTGAAAGCCCCCAAAGACCTGTCCCCCAACGGGGATTTAAAGACGAAACAGTACAGTTGCATGTAATACTACACAGTGCACCTATTTACCAAAATCATTTATGCAGTTGCTAACAAGTAAAAATAAAAAAAAATCCTCTAAACCTTGCATGCAATAGTGCACGTACACATATGTATCAAAATCGGTTCATGCAGTTGTTAGGAAGAAAAAAAAAAAAAAAAAAAATCCTATAATGGAGATTTTCTGAAGCCAATGGCTTTATACAAAGCTTAAGCATACGACCTGCAGTGTACACATTAACCATGTATATAAGTTGCTGAGCTATGTTTACGTAAGATTGGGAGGAACATATGGGATGATGTAGTGATCGTATAACTTTCAAAAAAGGTGAGGTGGGTTGCCCCTATTTTTTTTAAAGAATTTAAAAAATTAACTTCTAAAAGAAAGAATTCAAAAACTCCAAATGACATGACGCGGCCTTTTTAAATTAGTAACAGCCGACCAGTGGTTTTAGAGAGTTAGTCGGTTCAAGGGGAAGTCGGCCAGTTCCCGATAAATGACAAGAATAAGATCGGCTACAACAATTTTCAATCCAAATCAGACGATTCTATTTCGGGTCGACGATTTTTTAAACCTGGCTAATAAGCAAAAGAACTCATGACCCTAAAGTGGATGCCAGTTGAAATATTTGTCTTATTCATAAATCCATTACAAAAAAAGTCAAGAGTAAGAGTTATTTGCTTCCCTATTATAGACCCGCTCGTACACTTGACGATTAAATAATTTGTCGATTCTTAGACACCCTTATTCTAAAAATGGTAGATGTGCTGCCATAATGTGTGTGGTATACTTTCACTTGACCTGTATACCCAAAAATATGTGTGGTATACTTTCAGTTAGACCTGCATACCCGAAAGAACGATTCAAAGTCAAGTATTGAATGGGTGATGTGAGATAAAACTACATGCAAATAATGAAGCTTGACTAACTAGTATCTTACAGCTTGGGACTTTTTTTGAAAATTTATATATTGGAAAAACCCATATGAAAGCTATCCTTGACTAAATATTTACTAACGAATTAATATATTGGAAAATAATTAGACTTCTTTAATTTCCTACAAACTACAAAGCAATGCTAAGAGACTCAGCGGAATCAACTTGGAATCCATAGATTAACTCAGATTGATCGCCTTGGCAAGCCAATATAGTTTACAAAATCTGTTAATTAAAAAATAAAAAATGAATTCAAAAAGAAAATTTCGTTACTAAATCAATATAGAAACATTTTCCTATTTAATTTTAATGGCGACTTATCATTATTTGCTCTATAGTCATATTATGCCCCTTTTTTGTAACTTTCTATATTATTTCTACCTGTAAATAATTCTCTTCCAAATTCCATCTCTTATATATTTTCAATCATTTGCAAACTTTTATTGCTATTTTTGTGGTTTCGTTTGGTTTTACTTTTCTTTTTTTTTTAACAATTTTTAAGATTTTTATTTTCTAAAATTTAGAGCGTTTATACTAAATGTACACATGAGTCCAATTGGACTCACCAGAGTAACCTTGCTTGGGCAGCGTCGAGTCCGAGGCCCGGCCAAGTTTCATAAAACGCCAGAAAGGTATCTTAGTAATGATAGGAAATGAAGCTTGGAAATTCATTACAAACTTAGAACCGGATTGTTTTGATGATGGTAGTGATCCTATGATGTAAGCAGTTAAGGGGCATTTAGGTACGTGGAAATCTATTATGTGACAATAAATTACAAGGAAATATGATATTTACATTGTTAGGATACAATTTAATAATAAAGAAATAGAAAGAGATTATCGAGATTACTTGACGTTTCCCTAAAAATCACACAGTGAAAGGTGAAAAATCTATTAGGAGGTTGACGGGTAATCTTTGAAAATCTTTCGACTGCATCTCTCTGCCTCATCCCTGCTTAAAAAAATATTTCCCTCTCTCAAGTATACGTTGTATTGTATAATTATTAAGATAAGTAGAAAGTGAAAGTAGGGAATATGAAAAGGAGAATCTAAATTGATTTGAACAGATCAACAAGTGTACGAGGACAATTTTCTACTGCAATCATAATAAAAAATTTCTACATCCCTCTCTTCCCAATTTGGTTGTAACCCTCCTTTGACTCTCATATAAAAACAAAATTTTTTAATAATGGGTAAGTGAAAGTAAGGAAAATTTAAATTGATTTGAACCGTTGTAGAACTTGATGAGGGACAATTTTTTATTGCAATCATAATAAAAGAATTTCTACATCCTTCTATTAGCTATCGTATAAAAATAAAAATAATAATTGTTAATTGATGAAAAATTACACAACACAATTATAATAAATTAATTCACACAATATAATCCTCGTAAGAGATTAATAAAAGCTCAATTGAAATAAGATACCTCTTTATTCTCCTCCAATGCTTCAAAATTTTCTACTGCAATTACCAAACCTTTTATTTTACTAATAAAATTTCTTCCCATTTTTTAACTTGTACCATAAAGATTTTGATTTTGATATCATAAATTTATTGCTTATTTGAAATTGTATATAGAGAGATATTTGAAAGACTTCTATAATAAATAAATAAAAATAAGACTTATCGCAATAAAATCATGTTATTCCAATCATATTATTCCAATGACTTTTCATGTTGAAACCAAAGTCTAATCATGTTAGCCAAACATAGTCATAGTTTTCATATTTGGATGGTAATGCATTTCTCATATTTCTTCCATACGTAGCCAAACAGTAGCAATGTATTTCCCAAGTTGCATCTAAATACTACCGAAACAGTGACAATCTATTTGCAGGTAATGTATTACACAGTAATGTATTACGCATATAATATATTTCACAACAATATATTTCCAGGTATCGAAACGGCTCCTAAGCAAACTTTCTTGCTTATTTGGAAAGGTGAGAAGTCATCCGAGGAATAAAGAAAAATAGGTATATGCAGTGTTTAAAAAAACGTCGAGT